TTCTCTTTAGGCAATTGGACTAGGAAAATTATAAAGTTTGAACTCGATGCCAATTTCAAGATCTTTTCTATACAGTGTAGAACTTAAACAATTATTTAGGACATAGTTTCCAAATTGTACTGGGCGCTGAAGCAATTGATGCTGTCCACGGGGTGCTAGCACATTTGAAAAAAAAAACGAAATTATCTATATATAAATTACACAACATACTTAATTATATATTATTTCTGTGATTTTTGTGTTAAGTTAATATAATAAAATACGTGTTTGCTCTTTCTTGTGCTAGTAGGCGCTGAATTTTTTTTATCGTGCCTAAGTGGCCGGTGAGCTAAAGGTTTGGGAACCTATGGTTTAAATCTTTCAATATATTTGTTGGAAAATATTCCTCTTTTGGAATGGTTGCAGAATTATCGTTCAAAATGGCAACACTGTTTAATAATAATAAAAATAGTGGAATGAGTATTAGAGGGGCGTAATTTTGAATTATTTCAAAGGAATGTTTCAATTTAAAAGCGTTTTGGTTTTGCGTAACTTTGTAAGACTAAAAACAGCAGTTGTAAACAAGCGAGAGTTTTATTTAAACAGGGTTATTCGTAAAACTAACAACCCCGCAGGAATATACTACTAACATCATAACAACGACTTTTGTTCCAAGACTTTTTACAAAACATAATAAACTTTTATTTTGTCTTTTTTCAAGACGGAGTAAAATGACATTTGCATGGTTACCAGTTTTCATAAAATTTAAAATAGTCGTTATTATCCCCGCAGAGGTCCCGGGTTCGATTCCCGGGCTGGGAGAAATATTTGTGTGGCCTACATTTATTTCTCTCGTGAGTTTGGGTGTAACTCGTGGTTGGTCTATGTGTGTATCCATGGCACCCGCGATACAAGGTCTTCTTAGTGCCAAAAACAGTGAATATTACGACGTTCTAATGATTACTGATTGTGTTATTGCCTTCTTTATTTTTAATTCACACTTGGCGTACTAGTATCGAAATGAATTTTTATTCATATACCTTTTTAAAGGGACGGCGAATTTGATTATCTATATTGAGTGAATGAGAAAATCTTTAAAATATGTCTCCTCTTTGTATTTTTAATAGACATGGTTCTAAATGCAGTTTATGTATGAACTTACACAAATTGACAATTCAAATGAACCTGTCCTCAGAAGTTGCACGAATAATTGGCCAATAATGATTGAAAGAAACAGGTTCGGCGAAGCATGACCAATATTATGTCGATAGTCGATAGAATATTTATCGACTGCAATCACTACCTGCTTGTAAGTGGGCAACACTTTTGCACTGTGAATTGTCATTTTACTCCATCTTCAGAGAAGATAGACTATAAGTTTCGTTGTCCTATCTGACACTTTTTAGATCTGCGTTTTGTAGTAAGGTGGTAAATTCAAACGTGTTCAAAATTTTTTTGTCCGTAATAACGTTTGTTCGAATTTTCATTACACCGAAAACCGAATTATAACGAAACAGTTGTTCTTTCAGGATATGTTGAGTGTTTATCGCAAAGACACGATTAGGTTCGGTGAAGTCAAGTTTAAAAGAAAAAACATTTTCCTCTCAAAATTACTTTCGAGCTTATGAAATTTCGACCAAACGTTATTTCTGGAAAAAGTCATTTCGGACTACTAATAGGAGACCGTTCAAACTACACGTTTGAATGAAATGAACCGTCCCCAAAAACCCCCTTTTAGAGTAATCTATTTAAATACGTATTTTTTATTTTTATAGGAAAGTAGAATGTGACGAAATATTAAATGTCATGGAACTTAAGTTGTTGTTTATGATGTGAGCAAAAAAGTCCTGCAAGATTGTTCATATTTTACAAATAACTTTATGTGTACGCGTGTTAGACTAGTGGAGTACGCGTGAAGACGTGGTAACCTAGTGGTTCGAAGTACCTCTCAAGCAGAGGTCGTGGATTCGCATCCGGGCGCTCACCTCTCAGTTTCTAGGAATTTATGTGCGCAATTTAATTTGAAATTTACCATGAACTTGAAAACACCGTGATGAAAAAGTGTGATATCCCCAACCTGCATTAGGCCGGCTCGTACCCAACAGTGCGACGTATCAATAGGTACGCGTATACTGTATTGTATACGCGTGTTTCACCATGTCCCTGTCCCAGTCCTCTTTGCCCTCTCTAGGGCTGACTTTCTATCCATACTGTCTCTTTCTTTTCTAGAGTCTTTTCTCTTGCCCCCTATTTCCCTCTGCTTGGTTACTCGCTCCAAGAAGCGATGCCCCAAGGGAAGGAATAATGTGTTCTTTTTAGTTCATAGTGTTTAAGTTAAAGTTTACTGTTTAATAAGTCTCCTTTATAACAATTTAAAAAAACCATATCCCGGCGAACATAACTGTGGCACCATATTGTCGTTCCCAATCCACTTAGGCCCGACACCCATGGACGGGATAGCTCGGCAGGGGATCCTTCGGCATCCTTACTGCAAGCGCATATTGATAGCAATTATGCTGCGGTATACCTACGTACATCCTTAAGGATGCCTAAGCGTCTTTAGGCACACCGAAGCATTCCGTAGCGACATCGTGCTCGTGGCTGATCTTTCTGCAGATCAGTCTTGCCGGGCGTACTTCCATAGCATAGTCGCACTCGGCCTTTCGAAGCATCCTCAAGGCTGCCTCGGCATTCCGGAGGTTATCAACAGCTTGATTTTGATTGCCTCTACCGTTCGGAAACTGCGTCTTTTCCGAGTCGAGGCGCATAATTATGATTAGAATTGCAACTAGGTATAACGTCGTAATCTTCAGGTATATTATTACTATTCGTCACCTAAAAATCCCTTGCCGTCCCGTCCCGTCAATGGGCGCGGGCGTAATACGAACTTGACAGGTTTTTTTAGTGTGTGTGACATTAATTTTGACCTCCGCTCCGTGGTCCTGTGGTTTACCGGTTTTCATGGTGTCACCATCTTTGAGGTCCCAGATTGAATCCCCAGCCGGGTCAATGTAAATAACCTAACTTTTCTATATTGGCTCGGGTCTGGGTGGTACCGTCGTTGTTTCTGATTTCCATAACACAAGTACTTTAGGTACTTTGGGATTTTTTTTTGTAATATCAAGAGACGGAACAAAGAAGTCGTGCGCCTGATGGTTAAGCTACACGCCTGTCCATAGCAGTTGCAGTGCCACTCAGAGCTTTAAATCGCAAAGATTTGAGGGGCACTGCCACTGCGCCCTTCACCCATAATTTGATAAATCCCATGTGCTTATAATTTCACCAGCACCCTTATCCTTCAAAACCGAAACGCAGTAATGCTGACATTACCGCTTGGCGGCAGAAATAGGTAAAGTGGCAGTACTTCCCTGGACGAAGGAGTTCTACTGCTACTAAATCAGGATCAGTACAACATATGTGTTGTTCCAATATATTTGTTTTGTCTAATTAATAACACAAAAACAGACTATTTTTACCACAATGCTAGCTTGAACAAATGTTTTAAGGGAATTTGGCCCATATTTACTCTTCAAAAGAGAACCGGTAGTAGAACGTTTGTTAGATACAATAAAGATTGGCAGTGTAAATGAATCGTTGTAGAAGTAACGAAAAAAAAACAAAGATACATAAGCATCCGACCCAAACAGACTACCTGAAAATTACTGCATTGTTTTGGTAGTTACAGAGTCGCAGCTCGTTCAAATTGTGTATTATTGTTATTTTTTTTAATCTCAGGACACATTACTCAGGTGTATATGTTATATTATACTGTGCAAGTTTTATAACAAATGACCTTGATTACCTGTTAGCTAGTGAGCGCATAAATTAGATATTTGCATAAGTTTAGAACTTAATTTTTTAATTAATACTTAATTTTTAATGTTTTATATTATATTTAACTATGTTGTAACTTTGTTAAAGTTTTTGAACGGCGGTCAAACCGAATGATTTTACAAAATGAAATTATAGTGGATAACATTTTTTGGGTTACCTATCAGAAGTCCGAAATGACATTTTCCAGAAATATCGTTTGCTAGAATTTTCATAACCTCGAAAGTAATTTTGAGAGGAAAATGTTTTCGGGTTTAACCGAACCTAATCGTGTTTTCGGGGTAATGCACATTCGAACAAACTTTATTTCGGAAAAAATAAATTCGAGTTTGTGATAGGTTACCCATTTTTTGAAGCTTGGCCTTGGATTTTTGTCTTTTAGAACAGCTTAATACATAATCAAGATTATTGTGATCTGGTGCACTAAAAGTCGGTACCGGACTTCTGGATTTATACTGCAGTTATGGAGAAGAGATTTACGACCATTGCCCCAATAGGAATTTAAATTAAATTTCCAAGTTTCATGACCACTCAGATCTTCAAGAGAGTACCCCACAGTTGAAGGATATCTTCGCATGATTAAAAAGAAGTAAATTTGCTTGAGACGGAACGACGACCCTTTCTTACAGCGCGAGTGTTGCTGCTGTGTCTATCACAGCGCACATGTATGTACATAGTGTAGATAATAATTGTTTCACCATTACATACGTCGGGCAAAACTAGTTTTACGATTACCTAAACATTTTCTGTTCCAGTTTTTTTTTGCCTTTACTTGCGCCGATTCTTTCTGTCTTGGAATCGATTTGTTTTGTACTTGTTTAGTCGAAAAGTTTCATTATGGTCCTTCGAGCCGGATGCATAAAGCTTATTTTGCTATTTATGTAATAAAAATAAGTAACGTGGTTCGTGATATAGGTTTTCGAGTGTTTTAAACCATTGTTTATGATTACCAAAACAAAAGGACTAGGCACACATAACCTACAAGGATATTGATTCACGGTTCCCTCCAAAAAGAAATATATGCAGCGCACAAAAAAGAGGTTTATAAAAGACCTGTTGGGGTAAAAAAGCATCGAGAATACGAGGAACAGACCTCAGTACCTCACTTTCGATCAGCGGCCGCCCCACGGCTCGGGGAAGATTCGCATCTCCAAGAATTAAAACACTGAGCACTATAGCTCTTCACTTACGATGTTTCTGGTCCCTTTCTTCCTCATACGACCATCGCTTGCCGTATAGCCATTTAACTATTTTAAAACACTAACACTGACACAACGATCCTTGCGACTGACATCGAAAATTTTAGTTTTTTTTTAGGAAGCGTTACTCCACCAAGCGTCGTTGGTCGCCGGCCGGTTTATCACTTTTAAACACAAAATGTATTAACAAATATCACTAAATATATACTTTGTGAAATATTAGAAGTTTTTTTTGCATTATTTCACTGATTAGTTAAGGAAAATGTGCATTGTAGCATCATAAATGATGGTTGCGCATCGCGGAACGCAACGTATGAGCGTCGTGTCGCGCTCAGTCGCACTGGAACGCGTCGCGGGCAAGGGGACTGCGCGCTGTGAGAGGGGCAGTCCGCCATTTTTCTGTTTTACCGACAGTTACACTGTTATACCGACGCTCTCTAACGGACAGGTGGCGTAGTGCCCTTTTTGTACAGAAAAGCGCTGTTAGTGATTTTTAGAAGTTATATCCGCTTTATTTTCATTTATTGTTTAAAGTTTATAGTTTTATGTTTGCTTATACAATAGTAGGTTTGTTCGTCGAAATTTGTGAAAAAGTACCTATTCAATGAAAATTGTTACTCCGTATTGATATTTGTTCAGAGCAGGCTTACGTCGACCCCTCCTACGTCAAGTATCGTATGCGAAATTGCCAAGTTTACAGGGGAGCGTTTTAAAGTTTTGAGTTCACAGAAATGGGCATAACACGTGACTTTAGCATTTCTCAATTGTATTCGGAAAAGCTAGTCAGTCACATAGAGTATTATAAAATTAGTTTACCCCCGCTTGTTGACGCACATCCGCGTTATATAGAAAATTACAATATAAATTGTGGTTGTTCATCCAACCGATATCTAGGATTTTATAATATTCTATGTGACTAACTAGCTTTTCCGAATAAAACTGAGAAATGCTAAAATCGCGTGTTACAAATACAAACCTTTAAAACGCTCCCCTGTAAACTTGGCAATTTCGACATATGACACTTTACGTAAGAGGGGTCGGTTTAATTATTTATATTTATTGTATATCTTTACCTATTTATCTAAAGGAAATGCTATCAATAAGATAATAATAATTAGATAACCTCCTTTCCATTCAAGTCTTGGATAAGGTACCAATGAATGTCATAGTGATATTGTGACAGATTTTAGTAATGATATAATATTATATAATAGCACTACACTTCGAGTCGAAATGATGATATATAATGATGATGTGTAGACAGAGACTGCGGACACGTTTCCCTGATCATGGAGAGATAAAAAAAGAAGTACACTTAGGTACCAATGTTACAAATCCCATAACATGTGTGGATCTTTGCGGTGCAGCCCCTTAAAGCAACATAGCAATAGTGGATCTATCCACGCTGCACGGTTCCGTTTTTAGCTTCAGTTACGTGGGCGGCGTAATAGTAGTAACTGAAGTAGCGTCCATGTTTCCTTCCCGACGTCAGCTTATACACTGAACTCCTGAGCCAGGCGTCAGGCGATAACTATCTGCAGTTAATGTCGACTGCATGCAGTCGATCTCGATCAGTTTGTTAGAATTATTAATACAAAGATCGAACACTTAAAAAGAAATTCTTCGATCCGGCTGGATTGGACCCAGCAACGTCTTCTAGAAAACCGTGCTAGACGCTATACCAACTAAGTCACACACGGACCGAAACGAGATCTCTAGTCAGCAGCTGATACCGATAAAGGTACCCGGCTGAGTGAGGAAATATCTCACAGATGGCGCTACGGCGAAAAAAACGAAACAAATAATAATAATGCACACACTCATAGTCTCGCACTAAAGAAACTCTGTATCGCGGGTGCCATGGATACACACATAGATAACCACAAATTACACACAAACTTGCGAGAGAAATAAATGTAGGCCACGCAAATATTTCTCCCGGGCTCGGCAATGGAGCCCGGGACCTCTGCGTGGCAGTCCAGCAGCATTCGTAAGGTCCGCTAGTTCATTCCGTGCTTTAGTTGGCATAGCGTCTAGCACGGTTTGCTAGAGGACGCTTAATCGAATTCAATCGGATCGAAGGGGTTTTTCAAGTGTTCGATCTTTGTATTAACAATTCTATGAAATTAGTGGAGTAATTTCAGAAAAAAATAATCGAATTTCATGCCAGTGAAACGTTCTAACATTCAATGAACTTAATCACAATGATAACAATTTCACAAACAAACTCAAAAGTTTTAGCTAGTCGATAAATTTAACTCACCAAGCTTCTAAAAATTCAGCGCTGTCCCGGCTTAAAAGCTGTAACGTTCACTATCTATCTCTTTCTACGGCGCTAGTGGAGCTTCTAAAAAGCCAGAGAAAGCTGTATACCGATTACGGAAGGTATAGTAGTAATGTTTTTATTGTTGTTGTATCACACCACACACTCGTCTGTAAAGGTTTTTTTAGAGAAAAGGTTATTTCGCTAGCTTACTATACTTTATAATATTTACTCAAATTTCGACTAAGTTATAAGCTTCAAGCCTCTTGGGGATAGCATAATACGCCGTAACACGTTCTAGATTTTAAAATATGTCGCATAGTTCGTGTGTTTTTATATAATGCCAGTGACGAGACGGCAAAGATCTTAGGGGCACTGACACAAGTTGACAAGTCTCATGTGCCTATAATTTCAACAGCACCCCTTCGAAACCGGAACGCAGTTCACATTATTGCTTGGTGGCAAAAATAGGCATTTTATTTTGAAATAAATAACAGACACACGCTTGGCCACAATCTCCCCTGATATTAAGCGACGATGGGACACGTTTGCCTAAAAAATGCTTATTCACTCTAGTCTTGGATAGCCCCAAATTGTACTTTTCAGGATACACAGAACCGGTAGAACATTCCATACGTTTGCCGTTCGCATCAGAAAGGAGGAAGCAAAGCGCGAATGGATGATATATCAACATCGAGTATATAACCAGAAATAGAGACGAAATAAGCCAATACATTCCTAGTAAATCATCAGAGATACATCCCTTATAAATATCAACTCTTGTTAGCACTGAAAAAAAGGCAGGTCAACAACTGACCTGTGTGTATGTCTCCGTATATTCCAAAAATATTCTGTATTTATTGTAATAAAGACAATATCTCTAACAATGACGTGCTGTTCTATTCGGTGGTGTGGGGAAAAACATCAAAATATCTAATTACAAAACAAACAAAATAAAATTTCATCCGTAATTAAATATGTAATATTGCCATTTTCGTCCATTATAGCAAAGCTCAAGTTAGCTGGTCGATTTGAAGTGAAACAGTTGACGACACCCGTCAATTGTTTCGAACTCGGGCTAGCCAATCGGAGCGCAGTTGTCACAGTGATGATATGGCAAAATAGTTTTCAAAAAAATGAAATAACATTTCGTCTTTTTTGTTCTTATTTTGACAGTTGGCCTACTAGTTCGATCTCGATGATCAATTTTGAAATAGCTGGATTTGAATGTGAAAATGAAAAACTTTAAATATGTCTCCTCTTTGTATTTTTCATAAACATAGTTCTAAATACAGTGTATTGTATGAACTTACAAAAAAAGACAATTCAAATGAACTTGTGCTAAGTAATTGGATGATCCAAATGAAGAAAGTTCGGCTATTTATTCCATAAACGTGACCAATGTCCAGTCGATAATCGATACAATATTTTATCGACTGCAATCACTAGCTACTCGCAAGCGGGCAACACTTTTGCGCAATGGACACTCATTTTACTCCGTCTTAAAAAAAGACAGACTGTAATAACAATCCCTTTTCTCGGTATCAATGGAGATGCTAGTTCCAAATTCTCCAGTCTTATTTATTGAGCATTAGAGGGTTGTGTCCAGTCGGCGAGGTTTCGAATTCGGACTTGGACTTCGTTAGTTTTTCGGAATTTATATGTGAAATTTAAACCTGCAAACATCTGCAATGCAATATAATGATGTGTGTAAGTTGCCAATCCTGTCTGGGCTCGCGCTGGAAGTACATACAATCCATGTGTGAAGAAGCCTGCGTCCAGCAGTGGGACTATAGGTATATAAGTAACTATTAATATTATATTATTACTACCTCAAATGGCTTTGGTTGGTTCCGCGTAACAGCGAAAGTTAATTATTGTTATTATTATTGAAGTGTTCAATCAATCATTTTGGAAAAAATGTGTCGTAAAATTTAGGATATACACATTGACTTACAATTATATGGACGTCGGGTCCGCGCTAAAAAGTGTCCGAACTTATAGGGCGTTAAAATCGTATACAGAGCGTCATTCACGCTCTAGTCTTCGTTTGTTCGACTGACAGCGAAGCAAGCAAAATTAGACAGTACTGCGATGACATTACAATTTAAATTCAACGTTTTAGCTTTTTCATATTCCTTGAAATGTCACTACGTTTAAATAGGTTGACTTGGGACATTTTTTTCGTGGTTTTTGTATTAGACCCGTCGTCCATTTATTTGTAAGTCAATGGATATACACTATTAGTATACGGTGAAAACACGATTCCAAAAATGTTCACGATAGAAAAAAATATATAAACTTACTTTTACTTACTTACTTTTACCTCGAAATTTTACAAGAAAACCGTCGTACTCAATAGGTACTTTACATATAGGGGAAAGGGTACGGTACGAGATGATCCTTGGAGGTAAGATGATCCTTTTCAATAGTAGCGAAACTGGTAACGTCATTTAGATATTTTCTTCAGTAAAATGTAGGCCTCAATGTCATCAGTCAATTCGTAATGACAATGTGAGTGACGAGTTCATTTTTGGGGAAAAAAATAAAAATTGTGTGAGTTTGATCTAAGGTAAAGTTGATTAAAAGCTTAGGCAACTTCCATTCTAAGCAATCAATTGCTAAGATTTTTGTGTTGGTGGCTTTGTTTAATGCTCTATTTACTTTTTTAATGGCGTGGTAACAGTAGACAGCATACAGATTATTTTGCCGAACAAAAAATAAAAATAAGGAAATTGGGGCAAGATGATTATGGTTTTGGTGTACGAGATGATCCGTGGGGATCATGTTGTACTGTGTATATTGTTAACGGACTATTTTCAATTTGTATGTCTTTCTGAGTACTGAAACCTCTTCATTCAGACTGGATTTAGTTTACATGATCGATATC